ATTAGCTTGACATACTGATGAAAATGCACATTTCATATTAAACAAATAGTGTTTATATTTAAAAAATTTATATTGCAGTGTTTATCATAAAAGTATATATGATTTGCATAATGAATGATAATTTGAAAATCTGTTATTTAAAATACCGTCGCTATACCATCCAAATTAATTTAAATATTGTCTGAATGTACATATTTAATTAATATCGACAATTAATAAAATATGACTTTCGAATACGTGCAAGTATAATGTTTTTTAAATTGAAAGTACAGCAGTTTTTGGAAGTCCAATATAGTGTTCTGTTTCAAGATATTTGTCAATGAATCAATCGATAATTTACATAGTTTGAGACGATAAAGTTTAAAGCGGTCGAGTTTTGGTCGTATATTTCTCAAAGGTCGTTAGATCTTTTCGATCGAGTCTGAGTTTCGACAAATATATATATATATATATATATATAAGTTATCAGATTAATTTGAAGTATAGTATTCATTTATCCAAAATAGTAAAATAATTACCATATATTGTATTGTTGTATATTGTTTATTGTATATTGTATTTGTATATCAACAAAATATATTTTAAAAGAATCATATAATTAATTAATTAAACTGTTACGAAAGATGAAAAATTGCAGCAATAATAATGATAATTTTACATATGACTTTGCATTTCATTATAAATAATATAGTTATTTAATAAGTGAAACTTTGTGGTATTAGAACATTGACAATTTAATAAAATATCCAAAGTAATGCAAATATCTGTTCACATGTATTGTAATCCTACATGGGTAGTCCTTAGCAATGGATCCGATCTAAACAATCTAAATGAGTGAGTCCCGATTTTAAAGAAATCAAATGTCAGCCGAGAGAGAAACTGGGATGAGGTTCAATGGTTCGAGCATCCCTAATCAGAATGGAATCTAATTCATCCTCCGCCTCGCGTTTCTAAAACCCGGAGATTGCGATCCCGAAAAGTCACGAATCCGCGAAGGCATTGATGAATTGTTGCCTCGATCTATGCGCTAAGACTATTGTTCTCATGAATTCCATAAGCTTTCGCGAATTCCATATTCTACTTATAAATTATAAATTATAGGGGTCGATTTGGGTATCGGCAAGTAGTAGGAGGAAGAGGGGCTAAGATAAGACAAGTATGTGTATATATTGAATATAATTATTGCCTCGTTAATCAACATCCACCTTTCTTTAATAGTGGCCATTTTACTTGGTAATTATTTGAAGTATTAAACGTTAATCGATCGTAAAAACGTTAATTTTAAAAGAAAGATTATTCTCAATGGAATGAAGATTTTATTTTTAATTAGCTTATTTAACATTATTCTTAATAAATTATCATTATTAATAATAATTCACTTGTTCAATTAGTTCGGAAATTAGAACTCAAGATAAAAAGAAACATATTTGAAAATTGCAAATAAATTAAAAATTATTTGATTCTATGAATGTTTTATAATATATTAAAAATTGATTTTATACTTTACAAATTACTTTAATTAAATAACTTCATATTGTTATTTTACATTTTATACGTTATCCTTTGTTATATTGGAATGTTAATCGATAGCTTCGCATACTACATAAAAGTCGAATATTATAGACGTGAATATTATATCCTGAATTTATAAAAATATAATTTAATAAATTTCTCTCGTTATTAATTTTACTAATGATGACTGGAGAATTTTGTTCAGGAATTCATAATCGAATAAACGATAGCCGCTTTCCAAGAAATGATTATTTTAATTAAAGAAAAGTAAATATTGTTGATAAATAAAGTTACTATAAAAATAAGAATAGTTCGAATAAAAATGAAGTAAAGGAATGGCGACTGATAAATAGTACTAGACAGTAATTTGGCACAACCGAACCAAATATTATCAAACTTCGAAAGTAAATAAACTTCGGGTGGGGTGAGTCGAACTAAAACATCTAAGTCGTGTTAAACTTCTTTGAGGTTGCAAATAATGTATAGGTTCAATACATCTCTATACTTCTCTCCTCTTTTCTCTCTGTCTGTCTGTCTGTCTGTCTGTCTGTCTGTCTGTCTGTCTGTCTGTCTGTCTGTCTGTCTGTCTGTCTGTCTGTCTGTCTGTCTGTCTGTCTGTCTGTCTGTCTGTCTGTCTGTCTGTCTGTCTGTCTGTCTGTCTGTCTGTCTGTCTGTCTGTCTGTCTGTCTGTCTGTCTGTCTGTCTGTCTGTCTGTCTGTCTGTCTGTCTGTCTGTCTGTCTGTCTGTCTGTCTGTCTGTCTGTCTGTCTGTCTGTCTGTCTGTCTGTCTGTCTGTCTGTCTGTCTGTCTGTCTGTCTGTCTGTCTGTCTGTCTGTCTGTCTGTCTGTCTGTCTGTCTGTCTGTCTGTCTGTCTGTCTGTCTGTCTGTCTGTCTGTCTGTCTGTCTGTCTGTCTGTCTGTCTGTCTGTCTGTCTGTCTGTCTGTCTGTCTGTCTGTCTGTCTGTCTGTCTGTCTGTCTGTCTGTCTGTCTGTCTGTCTGTCTGTCTGTCTGTCTGTCTGTCTGTCTGTCTGTCTGTCTGTCTGTCTGTCTTTCTGTCTCTCTCTCTCTCTCTCTCTCTCTCTCTCTCTATCTATCTATCTATCTATATATATATATATATCTATCTACCTATCTGAGCATCTCTACCTATCGCTCTCTGTCTCTGTCTATCATTGTCTATCTTTATCTCTACATCTTTCGCTCTCTCTCTCTCTCTCTCTCTCTCTCTCTGTCTATCTGCTTATCGCTCTCTATCTCTATATCTTACTTCTCCAGTATCTATCAAACTATTTCTGTTATTCCACTGCTCTCTTTGTCGACATCTTGAGTATTCCTCATAACATAAGGAAGGGGAAAGCGTCGAAACGATGACACTACTATTTATAAATGTCGCTGTGCTGATATTAATTGTTATATTTATCCCAAATAGATTAATTTTTTAACAAACCTGAACTGGGAAAAAATTAAAAATGTCGTTCCACTTAACCAATCATAATTTAAGAGATTGACATTCTGCAATTTATGTTATTCATTGTACCCTCCTATATCTCTATTTCTCTGTTTCTCTCTCCCTTTAGTCCATACTATATATATTTATTTTCAACTATTCTGACTTTTTGTTTCTATTTTGTTGGCATCAGTTTATAAGCATCGTTTCCATTACCAAGAAAGCATTTGAAATTTGGAGCAACGTTTGTCTCCGCTCGGCATAATTCCAGTATACTCATTGATATTATCCTTATTCTCTGCTTATAATCGTTGTATCATTTTTAATGGAACTACTATATTTAGCAATCAAAATAATTTATTTTAAGCCTTGTGTAAAATGATATTTAATTAAACTCAAATTTCTTAAAAGTATTTACTATTAATTATCAATATATTTTTTATTATATTTCTCAATAAAACATAATATTAATCTATGAAAAGAAACACTCTGTTCCAGTTAGTTAACAAATAACAATAGATTTAATTAATATAATTGATAAAAACAAAATAAAAAAAAAACAATAATGTGTTAAAAAAATATATTGTAAAATTTGGATTCACGTTGCTTTTATAACATTCATTATATTTAAAAGCTTTGAAATTGATATGTTAAGAGTAGAGCATGTGTAAGCGTCAAATTTCTTTACCTGAATGAAGAAAACAAAATTTAAAAAATAAATGGTATTTTAAAACCTATTGCGTACATTATTTTATCGTCTTACACTTTCAGTTCATATTAATATATATATATATATATATATATATATATATATATATATACCTTTTGATTTTGAGATTTACATTCCCTATATAAGTCTTTATTTTATATATGCTACATTTGTACTTATAATAATTGGAAATAACAATGATGAAATATAATAAAAGTACAAATAAAAACATAAAAGAATAAATGGTTTGTTCATGGAAGATGATTTCGGTTCAATAAATTCAATCAGCAAACAAAGTTTATCAACGAGCCAAAGTGACTTCTGCCATTAGAGTATAAATTTATTAACGCATGAATAATATCAATGATTGGTTCAAATTTATTTATGTAAAGACTGCGTTGCCATTCTGAATTATAATTGTCAGAATTATAAAAAAAAAAAAAAAAAAAAAAAAATATGGTTTTTAATGTAAGCTAACGGCAATACTTAAAAATTTAATATTAAAATTACAATGGATTACGAGTTAAAATTTTCATAAATATTAATTTCAGAATATTGTCTCGACATTTTGGTTTATTTTATTAAAATATTTTTGGCTGGACGAGAAAGAACAATTATACCAATTTTTATTATATTAAACTGTTTCACAAATTAGAGTGAAATTAATGATTATTTAACTGACTAAGTATAATATTATTAAGTAATTCTAAATGCCTAAGTAATAGTAATTAATTATATTCTATGATTTTTTTTTTTGTTAACAAAGTACAAAACTAAATAAATTTTAAATGTTTTAACTTTTTTCTATGTTGTCTTTTCTTTTTTAAAAAAGCTTTTCTTATTTAAGCAGCTTTAAATCATCTCAAAATATGTTTAACTTATCGCATATAATTAAAGAACTTTTTCAAACGAAATAATATCTTCGTATCCGATATGAATTAAAATTAGATTAAATTGTATAATAATAAGATGGTGAAGCGATGGGCTGCATTATTTGAATTTACCTGCTAATATTACGAAAACTCCATCAATTATTATTAGAGTGAAACACATTATAGCCAGCGTATGGCCTCTTATCGGCAGACAATGAAAACGATAGTAAACCCTCATAACAAACACATCGTTAAAAATTTTTAATTACTAAAAACAGTGAAGCAAAAAAATGTATTGGAAGAATAATAGCGAAAGTACTGCTCACGACGAGCACTGCCGTACCAAAATCGTAAACCAGCTTTGTAATATTTAGAGAATTTTCTTCAGACAATTTATTGACCGCATAATAGAAAAATCATCGCATCGGAAGTAATCCTTCACGCCGATATTTCTTTTCCAGAATATGCAACGGTGGGTTACATGGCAAAAAGAATCCAAATGAGAAAAAACCGCTTCGCAAAAATAGCGGAGAGCATGAAAGCGGCGAGGGAGAATCCGGGACCACCAGGTGTACCCGGCGATCATGGAGATCACGCGCCAAAGCAAACCGTGAGTAGCGTGAATCATAAAAGTCTTGCTTTGTCACCTACCAGCCGCATTCCATTCTGTCACTCTATTCTAATTACTCCTGTTCCACGTATAATTCAAAGAAAATGGTAATTGCTATTCTTAATGCTCTCTCTAATGTCTAATCCTATTTCCATAAAGCGCCTCTATGTTTCATATACGCGTAATCACAATTTCGTTATATTAATTATGTTTGATGAAAACATCCCTGACGCCACCTCTACTTTTTAAAGATTTAAATAACAATTATATTGTTGTTGTTGTTGTTGTTATTATTGTTATATCCTAAGATGACGGTAAATCAGACACGTATTCACGATTCCTTCCGTCCCCTTCATTCCTATTTCTATTTACTATTCCGATTTCTCATTCCTATTTCCATAAAGCGTAATGTTTCATTTATCAACGAGGAAGAATTTAGCTTGAAAATAAGCATAAATGTTATTGAATCGGAAATATTTCCTCGTAGCTTCAAAAATTAATCACCATACATTATCATTTTCGCGTAGTACTTGCATAATCGATAAATGTATTACAATGCTAAGTGTTCCTTTTGTCGTTTATGAAAAAGAAAACTCGAATAGTTTTCCAGTAGTACTTCGATATTGCGGTTTCGTGAAATTGCCTCGCTATTTTCATTCGAATCTCCGGAAGAACATTAAAACGAATACACTTTTACTTTGTGCCAGTGTATACTCTGATGGACCTTTTTTCATATCTTGACACTTTTTCTTTGCTAAAGCAAAGTAGAGAACTCTTGCCCAATTTTTCTTCATTTCCAAGTTAAAAAGTCAAACTCGGTGCAACTGCAACGACTGGGCAAATGTGACGAACGATCGCGAGCTTTTACGGGAATTGAGGATACGAGAAGGCTAGCATGACTCTTTTTGTGAACGAAATTGAAATTTGATGTAGTTCTGAGTCGAAAGGAATTTTATTCGTTTTAATAAGTTTTCCAATTTTTTCCGAGTGCTTTCTTCTCGTTTACGAATGATGACGAACTTTACAATTCATAAGCATTGAAATATAACGTATGATCTCTTATGAATGATTAACGTCGTAATATTTTAGTTTTTTATCAAAAAAAGGAAAACATTATTTTTAATTGTTAATATTTGGCGAGTTAATTATTGAAACGAATATGATAAAGTACTTTTTAATCATTTTTCATACACCTAAGGCATTATAAATAGAACGTAGAATAAATAAAAAATCGATCAATTAAATCGAATAATTAATTTGAAATCAATATTAAGCTATTGTTTGTTACAATCGAAAAAATATTTTTATCCGCACAATAAAATACAAAGAAAACACATTATTAATAAATAGTTTAAAATGACATTACATAGTCTGACTATTAAGATTATAAAATTTTTATTTTAACCGAGGCTACATTTCATATTTAAAATGTATTTTAGCTTCAAGGGGTTCAACAACAAAACCACGACGCATGTTACTTTACCTTAAAAAAAAGATATATCAAATTATTTTATTTGATAACGATCATTGGAAATTATGAATCTGCTAAATACCCTATAGTGCACTGAAAGTCGAGCGAAAGAAAGCAAAGCCGTATGGACGAATTTAATAACAACAATTATGTACCATGCGGCCAATGAAAGACAAAAGCAAGAAAGTTTGAAAATATTGTGTGTGTGTGTGTGTGTGTGTGTGTGTGTGTGTGTGTGTGTGGATGTAAGATACAAAGGAAAGACAAGAATGTCATTAACAAAATCGAAAGAAAGGACGTCAGCCGGTACATTGCTGACTACGTGTGCACGCACGTCTATTGCTTTCGTAATTGTGCGCGCGCTCGCTGTTCCTCTAAGAAACCACTCAGCTCCAACCGGGAACATAACTAAAATGGAAATTGCCGGGGAAACAACTGGAAAAGCAAGAAGAATCTCGGGCCTTAATTCACGATCGCAAAGCATTATTCTCTGAGCTGTAGCTACGTTCCCAGAAATATTGGCTAATTAAGTTTAAATAATTAGAGCAAGTGAAAAAAACCCTCCCACTCTCTGAGAGATAAGGAGATCTCCCAGCCGAATTGCAATGACAAAACGTTCGTAGGTGGGAGGGATGAGACTTGCGAGTCCTACGTGTATATGAGAAAATTTGCCCGATGATAGCGAATACGAAAGAAGTACATTGAATTTGTGCAAACAGTGGAAGTAAATTAAAATAATTCTTTCAGATGCAATTATTACTATTCATTAAGCTATAATAACGTGACATATACCGAATTTCTTTTAACATTTTTATCAATATTTTTATAATTATCGCGTTTTCACTTATTATTGTTGCTATTATTATTTTACGCTATTACCAATACTGATTATCATGATTCATAATGTGTTTTATTCAGTTTTAAATAAAATAATAAAATGTGATTAAGTTTTCAAGAAATTATTTTCTTATCGAAATGCTTGCTTTTATAGTAATTGAAATATTCAAAACTTTATATGTACGCACATGCAAGTACGATCTCACGCATGCGTATTCTCGTTCTCGCATGTGCTTCTAATTAATTTTCAATTATTTTCAACCAGTGAATTCAAAATAAATATTTCCTGTTTAATTTTTATACTTTATTGAATTATACTTTATTGAATATTTTTTAGCAAATAATTATTGTAAAAATGATGCATGAAATTTCAATTTCATTTCATTGTGTAAAAGTAACTTTTAGCCAATTTATGATCAATAAAATTGAATAAATTTTTACAGAAAAATAAATTTACACGTACAAACATTTACATAATTATATATAAAAACAATAAGAAGTACGTAGTCGAATATTTAAAAATTAAAGCTCATTGTATATTGAATTGCCGTAATGTAAAACATTAACATATGTATAAAAATATTTCGGTATAAATATACACATGAATATTTTTTAAGTAACATTATTTCTCGGTCAAACACAATCAATTAAAATAGTCATTATTCTCTTATAAACAGGACATTTAAATTTAATGAAGATAAAATTATTTTTTTTTTTTTTTTTTTTTTTTTACAAAATAAATTCGTAAAAATGTTACAAAATTATTATAACAATTAGCTAATAACATTTTTCAAACTGCTACTTTTGTCCTTTTCTCCGGAGACTAAAGAAAATCAAATGAAAAAATTGAAAACAACTACAACACTCGAATGACGTAGTTTGTGGGCTATAATAAATAATTGTAAATTGGAATGAATTCTGAATCGGGCAAATAACAAAACATTGTGTGAAAGTTCAATAAGAAGTAACCATAAATATTCCTTTAATCTCGCTTTTCAAGCTTTTCCCTTAACAAAGCTTTTTCTCGCCTCTAGGCTGATACATACTGTTCGAAATAGGAGAAAGAATTGTCGATAAAAAAATTCACATTTATCTATAAATGGAACATTTTATATCGACTCAAAACTTTAAGGATTTAAAGTCGTTGAAAATTTTTGATCATAAAATATTACGCGCGTGTATTATAAAATTGTCCTTGCCACGACTTAAATTTAATCAGCTACTTCTCTCTGCAAATTAACACAAAAATACATTAAACAATCACTTTAATACGTTTAATAGTTTAAGTATCGATATTCACAATCATAAACATTTCTCAAAATTATGACTAGAAAGGCAAAAATTTATACATTCGTGAATTAAAATATTATAATAACATGCATATTTTTAATAATACATTGCATAGTTTACAAAAATTCCTCAATATCAGAATCAAATCCGAAAAGTGCGTTACAATAAAAAAATTGGATCCGAAATAGCATAATTTCATAGTCATAATATGGGATTTTTTTTTCCATCATTTCCATGCGCGGTAATCTCAATATTTATAAGTAAAAATTAAAATAATTCAAGATAGAAATAATTATCAACTAAAATACTCCGAATAAAAATGTAATCGAATATGATTAATCCATGTAAAGTGAAATATCTTCTTCCCTTCGGAAACAAACTATCAACAATAAATATCTATAATTTACCGAGTAAAAATAAAAAAAAAATCCTAATAGAGTAATGAAATAATGAACTTTGTTAACTTGTTGGGTAATTGGATTATATCGTGAATATATTAAATTTTCGCGGACGAAAGTCTAACAATAATTATCGTTGGCCACGATTATTTACAACATATTATAGCCGAATATCTATGAATACAAATGTGAAACGAAGCTGCTGGTCGAAAGTCTGTAACATTGAATTGCTTGAGGACATACGTGAAAGCTCACGGAAGACTACAAATGTAATTGTATTGTACTTTAAGTACGAATCTTTTATTCATTCATCCGTTAATTAAAGACTTTATTTACGAGCGACGGGATAGAAACGAAGATTATACGCAGCTTCTCGTGACATATACAGTATCATATGCACCAAAAAATTTCCACATTTAACTATGTCGCTGCATTTTGTTTGCTAAAATTATTGAGCTGCAATGAAATCTTGCAAAGAAAGAATCTTAAACACTCGCGGTTGAAATTTTCCTTCTATGTCCTTGAAATGTCCTTCTTTGCATTGTACAACTACATGCTGGTTTGTTATTTTAATTACAAGTGCCAAATGGCCTCGGGAGGAGCATTTTATTTTAATGAAATACTTAATAATAATATATAGTAATTATATATTTCAAAATATTATGAAGCTATTTGTCAAAGTGGAAATCATTAGTCAGTCATTCATGAGAAAATAGAAAAATGTGTAATTATCACTATTATTTCAAAATCAATCTTACGTATCTTAATTATATTTACAATAATTATAAATTTCAATACAGTTTGTGGAAAATTATTTGAAAGATTAATTTAAATAGAAAACCGCTAAAATTTAATAAATAATATTTATAAATTTGTATACATGCTAACCAATAAATGCTAATCGCAACGCTTCCCTTCGATAATAAAAATAATATTGTTTACTAATGTAAAGTCATATTGAATGATATAATGAAATATTATAAAAATTAATTTTATATTATACTGGTTTAAGCATTATTAAGAAGCTTCAAATATGATTTTTATTGCACTTAATGCGAGCTCATCCTACAAAATTCCACAAATCGATCCAAAACAATCGATTCTTAAATATTTTTACACATAATAGGATATTACAATAATTTTATATAAATTATATAAAAATAAATATATAATATGTAGAAATGTTACGGAATACGTTACGGAAAAATAAATTCAAACTATGTAATGTCATACATAGAATAAGTAAAGTCATTCGAAAGTCAAAATTTATTCTAAATTTTATCTCGTACGTTTCCATTATTCTTCAGTCTTCTAAATAATCAAAATTATTCATTCAATTTTCAATATTATTATGAAATAGATATTTATTATCAAAGTTCAATTTGAAAATCAAACTCTTTTTAATGCCAAGCTATCCCTACCAGTAATTTCTATGCATCGATCCTTAATTTACTTAGCCGTGGAAGATATATGTCCAATATATTTCTTAGAGATAGTTGCCGTAAGAGGGAGTGAGGGGGGGGGGTGGTGGTAAGGGAGAGCGAGAGAAATCTTTTTTCAACTAGAAAGATGGCATTATTATTTTCAATTGCACTCAAACAATAAAACAAGCAGCCCTCCTCCCCTAAATGTTTTGCATGCACTGTCAATCAATGTAAGGGTACGCCGACATGCGCCGGCTGGCCCATAACGAACTGCCGTGTCTCTTGTAAGTGGTCCCGTGTTGTCCAGGAGGTGCGTTTCAAGGTCCACGACCCCAAGGCACATAGCAAAGGCGGTACCCTGGAAAACACTATAAACGGTCGAGCGGATGAAGAAGCGCCTCCGGCACCTCAACATCTCATCCATCCCGGCAAAGATATAAGCAAACTGTATGGTGAGTCCTTGACACTTTGGCAAAACTATTTGGAAAATATGTAGAATGGAACGCTTATTTATTACATTTACATCGAATGCTCGAAAAGATTTTGATTATTTTGTATACATTTACATTGATTGTGCTGTTTTGATATTATTAATTCCTTGATTAATTTATTATATTTCAATCATTATATTTAATATTATATTTAATATTTTCTCTCAATATTTAGAATTTTTATTAGTTTACGATTACTCCTTTATGATAACGAATATTTTATAAAGAAACTTTACATTGAATTTTCAATTAATTAATATTGTAATTTCAAAATTTATAGCAAGTAATCAATAATAATTTTTACTCTGCGGAAAATCCAATTTTCAACCTTATTCTAAAGATCGTATTTCACTAGCGACGTTATATAGAGAAAATTAAATAATTTGACTGTATATAAATAAATATTATAGTCGAGACTATTATATCAATTTAAAATAAAAATAAAATACACTCACAACATCAAGATTCTAATATAATATAGTTACAATCAATAACAATTCCTCTATCGAAATTATAAAAATACAAATTATAATGTTTGAAAAATAAGGAATTGATCGACTTATTGATTTCTATCATTAAACAATGCATAACCAAAATTAATTTTATCTGATTACTTACACAATCTACTTATTCATATAAAGATCATTTAAACATCCTGAAAGCCATAATCAAAAAGTCCTATAACGGCTTAGTAAATCAAAGCCATTGCCACACCGTGAGATGTCTACGCTTGAAATATAATAAACCATAACTACTACTACTACTACTACTACTACTACTACTACTACTACTACTCTCAAATATTGCAATCCTTAAAATTTATGGCAACCTTATTACAATAACTATTTTATAGAAATCGAATATCTTAATAGCTTTAAAGTTCAGAATTAATAGTCTACGAACATTATTTGATTTTCATTTAAGTGCTAATTAAGACCGAATCCAAATATTTCAGCTCCTAACCATCTTAAAATTACGTTCCCAACAACTTAATTAATATCTCTTTCTTATTATACTACATAATACTTTTTATCTCTTTTAAATATAATTACTTCTTAATTTAATTATCGTTAATTATGTTTAATTTTTTATCGTACATTTTTAAATGCTAACACACAATTAAGCATTTCTTTACTCAAGTTTATCAATTATTTAATCCATGACTGTTCAAATAATATTGGCAATAATTTTCACATTAAATTTCGTCTTAAGCTTATCAACAGTTGAATCATTAGATCATTCGCTGATCATTATTTCATACATGGTTTTCAAAATAATTAACCTAATATGAGGACATTTGCTACATTTTAAACGAATCAATCGACACTCTCCTTCACTAATAAATCGGTGTACAAGCTAAATAAAATACGAGCACTTTCATCTCTAAATAATAAATTCATAATTCTTTCAGTCTGACATCTAAAATATCATAAAATACAATATATATATATATATATATATATATATATATACATATATATATCATATATTATTATTAGTTGTGTAAAAAGTACGTATTATATATAAATACTTATATAGTAGAATTTGATAGTACTTACTGCAGCTTTTTCCAATATACCGCCATTAAAAGAAGTTTAAATTTGCAATATTAATAAGAAGGAAAATTAATTTTTGAGCAAAAACATAAGATTCTCTAACAATTTATTGAAAATAAAGCAGTTTAATTAAAGAAAGTTAGCTTCAACGTCACATTTACAATTCTAAAATTATTATACATTGGCACAGTAACTCTATGCGATTTTCGAAATTTTAATTCATTAAGAATTTCCAAATTTATTCAATGTTATAATGTTTCAAGACTTATTTCAAATATTTTACATAAATATTAAGGAAATATTTACCTTGAAAGTATATTATTTTAGCGTATTTTGATTGTTATTTCTTTGGCTTTAATAATACAAAAATTAGAACGAAAAGCTGAGAATATAATTTTACTAATAATGTAGAATTATCTCATATATCATCTTACCGTCACAATAACGTTCCAGTAATCAAATTTAGATTTTTTTCTAATATGGCAAATATTATTGTCTAAAGTACACAATAGAAAAATTAGTTTTTAATAAAAATAAATTGAAATTCTTTATCTTTCAACCACATAAAATTTTCTTTCTAATGTCTAGTGTAAAGACTTTTTTTCTGTCGCGATTTTAATATAAAATTTTTAATGTAATATTTTATTATTCTGCCCAAAGTAAAATGTTTCAAAGAATACAATTAGATTCGAAATACGTGAAATGTACTATGTCATCTCGTTAATATAATCCTTATCTTTGATATCTTCATTTGGAATAATTATGATTTATTAAAAAATTTTATAGTGGTTAAATGAATTAATCCTTAGTTTCGCACCTTAATGAATTTTTAAATATTATGTTGTTTAGTGATTTTGAAATAATAGAGAAGCTTTTTATCTAATCATATACTCATAAATTAATATTTTATGCAGATTTTATTTGCAAATTTTTCGCTTTTTGAAACATTTTCAGAAAATACATATTTTTTTAATATATTTTAATGGAAGTATTTTCAACAACATATTCTCACTTATTTAAGAATTTCTGTTCTTACTCGTCGTAATAACTATAAGAGTGGTTCAAAATTTTCCGATTTCCTAATTTCCTCGATTTAATGCCTATAAAATTCTTATATATTCAAAAACTTCCATAAGTTACTTTAGAGTACTTTCATTATTGTATAAAATGTATTTTTGTCAATATTTAAAGGTTCATATGTCTCAGCATGAACAATTACATTTTCAGTTTTCATAATGCAAAAACTTCAATTAACATAAAATAATAAATATTTATAAGAAGTACATTTACTTGTATGGTTGTTTATTGATATATAAAAATGGCATAATTCGTAAAATGAACTGATTCTCTTGTAATTAAAAATTTTTTAAACATTTTTTAATTGTTATGAAAATCCAAGTGATTTAAAGTAGTTAAGAAAGTCGAATTTATTAAAAATGTATTTTATACATTCTATTTTAAGATTTAAGTGTGTGTCAATGATATTTAAAAAAAAAAGAAAGTTTTGCATTTGCCAAATTTATAAATGAATTTAGTTATGTTTATAAGATTAAATACTGAATGTTTATGTTGCTATGTAGAGATAATTACGTAAAATGTTTGTATTAATAATCTTTATGTTAATTTACGTTATATAAGACTTAATAATTATATATATGATAAAATAAAATAAATATAAACAAATTTATTGTTGATATTTTATAATAAACTCGAAGGTTCTTTTTCAACTTAAACTGTATTTCATAATTTACTTTTCTAAGTTTTCAAGGTAATCGACAATATTTATAATTCATAAATTAAAGTGTGATAAATAAAATTCAGTATCGGTAATATAAATATATGTTCTGGTTGAATATATTTATATAATAGATTAATAAAAATGTTGTTTTAATTGTTCTTTAAATGAATATTAATTCATTAACTGTTTATTATAATAAATTAATTATTTTAAAAAAAAAAAAATGTATTTCATTCCTTTAAAATTAATAGTTTCTTTCATTCAAATCACGAAAATTATCAACAAATGATTTTCTTACTTAAAATTTTATTGTATAATTAACTACATCATTTTTATATTTCTAACAATGTGGAAAAAAAATTTAATTTTCGATAATACTTGATATAATATTTTATTTCATTTATTTAGTTCATATTCTACATTTTATATCTAATTCAATATTTTTTTCTTGCAACCGTATCTTAAAAAATTGAAAGATAGAAATATTTGAACCACTCCAGTGTGCATGATTATACTAAAATAAACTTTTTAATTTGTCAAGAGAATATTATTTGTCTTTAAAGCGTCAAATAAAGTGGACGTTTCAAATAATTTTCAAATAACCTCTACAATTATTTTTTATAAATTTTCTAAAAATATTATTTCTGTGTTAACATAAAATATTGCATGAGTGTATGGTATGTATGTATCAACATATGTATGTTTTATATATATATATATATATATATATATATATATGCCTGTGTGCGTGCGTATATGCGTGCGAGGGTGAGTGGGTACGCGCGCGCAAGCGCATGTTTCATGTTCATATGCATAATGTGTGGATAAAATATAGAATGCATATGTATATAATCCTATATATACATATACGCGTTCGCGCTCGCATGTGTGCATGAGAGCGTGCGCAGGCGGGTAGGTATGCATAAATATATATATACAGACATATCTTAAACTGTGTCGAATTGAAACGGTTCTATTAATCGATTTAAATTTTCTTTATCCAGTATCTTATTAAAATTATAAAATCTAATAATTATTTATACAACAGATGCATTTTAAATTGAAGAGGTTATATTTGTACAATAAGCCTGTTTCTGGAATTTTTTCTCTTAGCTCAAGAGGATGCCCATTCTGCACTTCAGTCTTTTCCAAAGCCAACAAAACATACTATACTGGGTAAACGATTTATTTGTAGCTAACAAATATGTTTATATCAGACGTATACCTAAGTTTGGCTCAAATAATATTCATTCACTATTCATCAAATATTTTAGACATAGATGTACCATTTTTCCCGTGCCAATGCTTCATCCTCATTTTAATGAAATCTAATCCTAGAATCTCATTATTAAACGCAATGGTATCGCGGCATGCTATTTTGATTTGTTGAAACTCGGCGCCTGCTTCCATTAACCATTAAAGCGAAACATTAAACGCCTGTTAGAGATTTCATTAGGCAATCACTTGTACATTCGATGCAGCTCCAGAGATTCTAGGTTTAAATTACGGGAATGACCCATTCTACGCCTTTTTTTTTACGTAAAAACTACAGGGGACCGATAAACATGGAACTACATGAATTAATGTCGCTTTCAGGTATAACACCATCGGATATCGACAAGTACTCTCGCATCGTCTTTCCGGTCTGCTTCGTTTGCTTCAACCTCATGTACTGGATCATTTATTTGCACATTAGCGACGTTGTTGCTGACGATCTCGTACTGCTCGAGGAGGCTAAATAAGGAGTTAAGAAGGCGTTTCAGCGACGACTTGCACGACGTCGGCCGCGCCAATCGTATGAACGCGACTCAAGAAAAGAGATTGCTTTTACTTCGGGAGGCCAAAACAGCCAAATTTGGAGAAACAGAGAGGAAAGGGCGACGACTGAAGCGGTGCGATGAATGTGAAAGAGGTACAAGAGAAACCGTCGATAACGCGACTTTTGTCGAGCGAGGAATATATCCGCCGACTTTTTCCATCATCGCCCACGGCTGAGGAACGAGGAGGAAAAAAAATGCCCGAGAGCCCGCATCAAAGACTGAAAAGTGCATCGAGGCGGTGAAAATGACAAAGCACACGGAAAACAGAGCTCCGCCTATTTCAAGAAATAAAAATGAAGACAAAGATGAGAGGAGAAAATATGAAGATGAAGATGGTTTACCGATGAAGCAAAATCCAAATCAAGATGCTACGTGTGTATATATATATATATATATATATATATATATATATATATATATATATATAAAGAAAGAGGGGGGAAAAGAAAGGGATATATATGTATAAATAAATAGGAGGGGCGAGGGAGGGAGAGATAGGCAATAGAACCGTGACACGACTATAGTGATAAAAAAAGGATGGAATTGGAAGATAGATAAAGGAAGATACATGTCGCATGCCGTTAAAGATATATCACTGCTTTATAAGCGAAAGGTAAAAAATGAAAAATAAATAGAGAGAGAGAGAGAGAGTGCGTGTGCGTGCGTGCGTGCGTGTGCGTGCGCGAGTGTGAGAGAATGTTAGAGAAAAAAGGGAGTGAGAAAGGCGCGAAAAGGAGATAAATTATAAAAGGAAGATCGAAAAGGACGAAGCCACGATACGATCTTCGCATTAAGCACGTCAATTTAGCCACACTAGTTAACTAAGCTCGTCGAGATTAAATCAGAGTATAAACAAAAATTAATAAATTAAGGCAAAACAAACACAGAATTAAGAATGAACAAAATAAATGATAAAAGTAAATGTAAAAATAAACAGTTAATAGAACAGATAAGTCATGTATATGCGAGGGAGTATATATTCGAATGTTAAAATGGTTAGTCGCAACATAGGAGATGCGAGTTTGAAGGAAAAGATAGAAAAAAAAGACGATCCTAAGTGCTTCAGAGCGTTTTTACACCGACTTTATAACAAAAACGAAAAAGTGCAAGCGAAATGAATATCATCGAAAACATGAAGAGAGAAAGAAAACGCGACGGACGGCGCGAGGGGCAAAATATATATCCGATTTTCATTTGGAAAGATCTTGAGAAATGATCGATTTTATTTGTTAGGCAAGTATTCCTCGATTGTCCTGGTGATTAATTAGAGAGAACATAAAAACGGTTGTGTGAAAGGAAATTTAAGTATTTAATTAAGCTAAGATTCTTTTATAAATAAGTCAGGATATTATTTGTGAGGAGGAAAATATTTTTTCTTAACTCTTTCATTCTCATTTTGCACAATAATCAGAAATATTACTATAAAATTACTTATTTAAAAAACATAATTATATCGAAGGTAGACTCTCTCGTTATTTAATGAATTTTTCAAAAGTATGTTTTATACATTGTCATGACAAAATTTAATTAAACAAATAATTGAAAAAAGTATTTTCTTCCTTTTATTTATGACATTTGCATTTGTACGCTTCAAGTATTATTTTAATTATTTATTCATTGAACAATTGTGTTATTACGATAGGGCATAAATTCGTGTGCTAATGAACAAAGGTATTTCATGAAATCTGTGCAGATATAATCACAGCTTAAAGTAACGATAGAAAATTAAACTCCATTTCTCTATTATAAGTAAATTAAACAATAAATTATGTGAGTACGAGAATTCTTAACATAAAGTATTAAGAATTTATAAAATATGTCGTCTCAATCATATCGTTAACCTTTCTAAATTATGAAAAGTATACACAGCAATTGAAAATTCATGGGTGTATTAGTAGTCTCGGGCACAATCCACTTCCTCACATATTAACGCAATAAGGGGCGAATAAAAAGTAAATTATATTTCACATTGCGCAAACATTTCATATAAAATTACAAAATTGCCTAATGAAAGTAAGAAAGAATGATACGCACATATAGATGGATGGGCTAAGGGATATCAATGGCTATTTTGATTAAAAAATAATATCTAAGCAATAATTTTATTTTCATTCAAAATTCACCGTACTGTTCTCACACTCATTATTTATTTATTTATTTATTTACTTACTTATATAGCTAATCTGGAGATGTATATATATATAGATATTAAAAAAAAAAAGAAGAAATATACAGCTCAAAAATTACAATCATAATCTTTTATCTTAAATTAAACGAATAGTGACAATTAAAGTTCGTGAGAAATTATTTCATGTAACTCTTTGCCTGTCACTAAAAATAGTACAAATTGCAATTAAAAATTATTTTTCACGCGCGTTTAATGATTTTCAATGTTAGGTAAAAAAAAAAATAAATAAATAAATAAAATTAAAAATCATAACTGATATAAATAATCCTGTTTTATAAATTATAATTAAACTATTAATTATTAAAATACATACAATAATATGTATATTATTTGTATTTCTCTCAATATCAAATTGAGAATTAATTATAATGATTTAGTCTCATGTATCGCTATATACTTCCTTGAAATATGATTTTTTAATTTTGTTTACCAACATCAATAAATATATAAATAAATAAAACACGAGATGAACATTACTATGATATACCAAACAAAAACATAAAAGAAATTACAGACGGACTAATAATGCACATAAAAACAACATATGACGAAAGTTCAAACCAAATCAAAAAGAAGAGAGTTTCTAAAAAATTAGAAATACACGAGCCCATACCGTTAATAGAGAAAAATATTTTACAGCTGAACAATTGGCAATAATCATTTAAAGGGACTATAAAGAAAAACTTCGGATAAACTGGAGATACGTTAAAGCTCGAAAAATTGATTGTTAAATGAAATTATGAAGGGATCGGAATATGCTATAAAAGTTTTAAAATCTTTTCAAGTATAAATACAAAGTTAAACAAATCAGAGAAAGTATCGAGGCATTTATCTAGTAGTTCAAAACAAAAAATAAGCACGAAGAGAACGATAGAAATAGTCTAAACAATGTGACAAGTAAGACAATTGAAACTAATTGCATAAAGCTATTTCACATATAATGAAAAATAAATACTAAAAAATTAATAACAAAAGTTTGACAAGTTGTGTGTATACGCCAATATATAAGCGTATAAATAAGTAAAGAAGGAGAGAAAGATAGGAAGGAGAAAAATAAATAGTTTATAATAAAAGTGACTTAAATAAAAGAGAGGGCGGTTGATATTCGAGGGATATCGATCCGTCATGTGCCCAGTCCACTCCGACGTACCTTCTTTCTTCGTCTATCTATTTTTTATCTTTCTATTTGTACATCCGTCTCCCTTGCGCGATCTTAAGATGGGCAATGATAAAAGAAAGGATGTCGGGAAGTTAAGCTATGTGAGCCCGGGAGTTCGTGGCAGCCTTGTTTTTCCTGCGCGCGCATTGCGGCGAGAAGAAGCAGCGTTGATAACGTTACGGTTAATCGCGGGTTAAAAAGTTAAGCTCGAAAGCTCGGACTACCGCGACAAGGGAGAGACTGAGACGGATTATCTCCAAGTTGTCCGTCTCATTTCTCAGACGCAAGTGGGGGAGACAAGTCTCCTTCTCCTTGTGACTTTTAATCGTAAAGTGGAATTTCAAGGAATCCTGTTGTCACCCGTACAATTTTTCAATCTCGGTACAAAACGACGAGGCTTTTCCACTCTTTTCCACTAGACGCACTTGTATGTAACAATTTGAGAAGCTCCGAACATATTTCAGATGCTTTAGTTATATTTTCCGCGACTATAGATTGACGATTCTTCGTTCAAAAGCTCAATTTAACAATTTTCAATGCTGAAATATTGAAATACCTACACTCGCAAGTGCCGTTAGTCAAAATATTCTTTTCGCGTCGCAATTAAACGCGGACTTGGGTAATGAAAAATATTAACATTTATTTGGCTGACCGGTGCGTGCGTAAGAAAAAATCAGCCACTGCCAGTAACAGCCGTGTTTAGGTAAATTCAACATATCCATAGATCTCCCTCGTCGACAAAGTCACTCCATCGGTCAATACTATTGACACGTCACATTTTCCATAAAGTAAGTGACGTTAGACAATATAGTCTAGTATTGCATTTATTACGGAGGATTAAGTATTCTGGGACTGTAGGCACGCGACGATATGATAACGATGTAACAGACTCCTTTAGTCGTCTCGACGAAAAGTCAAAAGAAAACATGCCCATGATAAAATCGACTATGCGTTTGCACTTGTCACGCCCTCTATCCCGCGTCTAACGAGGCTCTCACGCCATCGTACAAGGAACGTACAAGGCGATTCGTATGAATAAGATGAGACGGAGCTCGAGCGAAGCTTGCAAGTTTGAGGAAGCGGAACAGTTGGCCCGAGCTAATAGCTGCCCCACACCCACGCGACTATCAGATCTTCGCGCTGTATCCGCGTGTCACTTGAGGCAGATAAAAAATTTGTAGAGGAAGTCGATCGATCGGTCTGGGCGCGTTACTACTATATGACCGTCTGGCCGCTCGGAAAATCCCTCGACTCGCTTCCCTCTTACCACTATCCTCCGCCCGCTTCCCTATTCATCTTAGGAAGAGAAAAGCGAGGCTTTTCTATCCTGGTCGGAAAAATTAAAGCTTGGAAGAAATTTAACACAAAAGCTCGAATTTGTATCTTGAGCTGTCAATTACGATAATGATAATTTCAATTAGACTTTTACAATATATCGAAATTCTTGACTAGTCGGCGATATTATTAGTAAAATTATATAAAGAATCGAGGGATTTTCCCGAGTTATGTCGATAAAATTCGACAACTATCACGTCCAAAGTAAACGTATTAATTACCACGAAAAGTACCCGTCTTTGTTCTTCAATCGAATACACGTAAAATTTGTGTAATTGCATGCAATGGCAATAACTAACGTTAACGATTATATATTCCTAATTGCGGTCTATCGCTTATACCAGCGGTCGGTAATTTTTACATTCACTTTGAGAACGCAATGATGGGAATACGGAAGGAAATACAATAATTGGTGAATTAAACTTCACGATATTTATAACAACGACGAAAGATCTGAGGGAACGTCTTTAATAAACAAAAAAATCATAATAATAAGAAAGAAAAAAATGTATAGGGTTGCTGGTAATATGCTCGCAAAAATCCAATATAGCCTAGAATATATTTTCGAAAATTTCAATTAGTCGATTAGAAATAAACATTATTGTCAAGATCTCGTAATAAAAGCCTTCTCGACCTATATAAATCTAAAACAAATGGAAATATATGGGGAACTAATTAT